ACGCATTTATCAGGGCAGGAGCATACGAAGAGGTCGAGTAAGTTCGCCTGATGTCTCGTCGCGTCCGGCACCCGGGTAGTCTCTCCGATAAACTGGGTTAATTCATAGGCGACGGAGAAGTTTCTGCAATATCTGCCTTCAACATCAGTTTTGTTGGGGTGTACTTAGCCATTTGTTATGGCGGATGTTGAACTTACTGCAAATATGAAAGCTGGCCGAGGGGGAAGATATTATCAATCTTCTCAGATATTTGGGCGAACTGAGGACGGTAGAGAGCAATGATGAATGTGGTACTTTGTATAAGTGCCACGCGGAGGCACATATACGGGAGATTGGGTTCTTCGTTTTTAGTCTCCATGTCACAGGGAAACTCATCCTTGGTGTAGGCTCCTATCTCGTGGCGGTGACGATTTAGGTGGTCATGTTCGTCTAAGAGAGGTGAGTAGCCCGAGGCTGTGAGCTCCTCTAGTGCACAACGGGCGTTGATAACAAATTTACGCAAGTAGCAGGAGATCTACTTTAGATTGGAGAAAATAGTGTTCTACTTCCGGAAAGCTGGAACGTAGACCCCTCACGTTGGTGTAAAAGATGGCATACAAAGAGTCTACTTCATTTTTTTACGTTGGGTTTGATAGGTTTGATTATTTGAATTTTGATTGGATTCATGTGTTCATTGGCTGGTGGAAGACTAGTAGGCAGCGAGACAAACGCACCCAGAGTCGTCCGGAGGTAAGTGCCCTTCATCATGGCATCGAGAGGCCCCCACTGGAGAATGCTACACGGTTCAGAAACCATTCACAAAATGGCAGTACAGTAGACCCGATACTGTCCACCTGCTGATAGGAAAGCCTCCTTCGTAGTTACACGAAAGTTCGGATCTTTAACTATTAGGTGAATAACGCCAAAAAACCCAGAAAACGTCTACCTCCAGTACCCTGCAGAAGGGTCAATCTACCAAGTGACATTAGTAATGCTCTGAGTGTACATGTTGCGTCTGCTCAGACGTCAAGGCAACAGAACTCTTCTTACGGTCAGAAACATCATACCGGTCCGAGACTTAAACGTAACGAAACAAGCTCTCTCATGTACTCGAGGATTAAGAGATCTAGTGGAGAAGGAGCGAGGGTAACGAGTATTGAACGTGGATGATATACACACATATATATATATATATATATATATATATATATGGTTATGGTTGAATAAAAAAGTTTATCTAAAGAATATATATATACTAACAGCATGGCCCGGCGTTGCTCGTGCTTGATTCAAATATCGTACGACTCATACAGCAATCGCTATCACTTTTTTTTGCCCTTCCTTGCCTTTAAAGGAGTGCCCTTTGCCGTGCTGATGTTGCTACATGCCTTACTTCTTGCATATCTCACACTGCGAATTTTTCTAAGCTCTGTACTAAACATTAAATCTGTTACGAAAAGAGAACTAAACAAAATGAACACAAAATGATCAGTTTTAAAAAAGGACTCATAACTGGAAAAACCGAATGAAAAAAGAATGTTAACAACAAATACTTTTTCACACCCAACTCAGTTCTGCGGTATCAGAATCAACGTTGAGTTTAAGCAAGCGAATGGGCCAATTGGAGTAGTACCATGCAGATTTAAATTTTTCCCACTTGTGACGAATGCAGCTATCGATTTTTTTCACATGCTAGCATGCTAGTTAACATTCGTGTCAGTCAGATGTTGGTTGCTGACTAATAGAATCTTCCTGCCTATTCGTGGCAGCCAGCTATAGGCTCTTACTCTGGCCAGTAGAAAATGGCCGCAAACTACATGAAAACTGCCGTAGAAGCATGAAAAAAATCGATTATTTCCACTCTCGATGGGAGTTGGGAAATGCAAAGTCGGGTTTGGCCTTCCCACTAACTTGGAGCATGTGCATGTAAATTTTGGTGCAAATCCGGCGAAAATTGCGGCCGTGCATTCGTTACACACACACACACACACACCCTGCCTTTTACAGATAGAAGATATATATATATATATATATATATATATATTCAGTTGACCAAAAAGTTCGTTGGATTATTAACAAGAAAATTTACTAAATAAACCGAATTCTTTGGCCAACTCAATATATATATATATATATATATATACAAACACACACACACACACACACATATATAGTTATATATATAATCGGAGAGCCGTGTTCCAATTTCCGTTGAGTTCGTTGTATTCACTTTCATGCAAATACCTTTAAGAAAAATATGAATCCCACTCTTCTTAAAAAAAAAATCTTACAATCTAAAAATATTTTCTTGGTTTAGATAACCAGTAGAGGGTTGATAAGCCGTAAAAAACGAAATTACCAACCAAACCTATACTCTATTTTAGTACTCTTTGAAGCGGCGAAATATTGGTGCTTGAAGGTACATTCCAACCTATTAACCAATAAATACCTAGCTATGGTAGTTTGGAATTTTCTGAAAAATTCATTTTTTTATGTCTGATAGCAGTTTACATAATTTTCCAGTTTTTTTTCTGTATCTATATTTTTTCCTTTCAGACTTCAACGCAGTATTTAAACTATATTTCACGATTATCTACAAAGAATTGTTTTATATGAACGATTATGGAAGCCGATAAACACATTGAACATAATTCAGCAGCTTACGCCTTTTTGTACATTGTTAACTGAAAAAAAAGTTTAGCTTGAATTTTTTCAAATAGGAAAAATTGATTTAATTCTAACAGGTGCATCAACTCGATTAGCTTTTGCGCAAGAATGTGCTTCTTGATCAAAATGTGAAGATCGATATTACTTCCAACAGCTTGCGATGCTGACACACTGACGACTCGACTTGAACAATTGCGTTGTTTTTCGTTTATCTTTAATATTATGATAATTTGATTCTTTCGATAACAGATATTGGCATATTCCCAAGGTTATCATCACTTGTTGGCATCACTTTCGCTTCTTTATCTCCTGCTTTATGTACGCATTTAAATAATTTTTACCGAATTGTTTTAATATTTACTCCTGCCTTAATGGTAAGGTCTGATTAGTTCGATAAAGTTAAATTGACAGCTGATATCGAAAATGACATCCAAACACCTTAAAAATTTTTTAATCCTCTTCGAGAACGTTTTCGACTTCCGTGACCATAGCTGATGCTTGCCACCAGCAGAGTAAAAAAAATCATATTGCTTAATAAAGTTCTTTTATGGTCCGTGTCCCTTCAGGAGGTGGGCAATCATGGCTCTCCACAAATCCTATCTATTGTCATTTTCCGCCTCTCCTAATCCCTGTTCTACCATCCATTTTCACAAGTTCGTTAATAGGTTAATCGCTGCTTTTTCTCTGTCCCTCTTGCTGCTAATATGTCTTGCGAGCATCAACGTCTCTTTTCTCTTGTTTCCTAAAAATGTTAACTACATCTTTCTTATTCTAAGTATAAGCATCCTTTTCGTTAAAACTTACTTGTTACTCACATGTTATGTCCGTATCGTTAAAACTTACTTGTTACTCACATGTTATGTCCGTATTATTCTCAGCATTCTTTCTTAGAAAAACATTTCTGTTGCCCGGGCGCCCTCCTTCCTCCGCGAGATTGATCAGCATTTATTGCTATATAGGAATACCGATATTACATATGAGTTTAATACTCATCTTTTCCTTCTTTTTTTTTAACGACATTTTCCTCTTTCTTTACTTAGCTTTTAGAAGACAGTTGTAGCTATTCTAAATAACTTCTGTTAAAAAAAAAAGAAGATATTATCATCCGAAATACAGTCAGTCAGTTATGTGCCATGCGTGATACACGCTTAGGCGATCATGTATCTTTCGATACATGACTGACGAAGCAGATTTTTTTCCCGAATTAGTTTGCCATTTCTTTCTGTGATAGACCAGTTGCCATCCAAGGCTATAGAACCCGTCCTGCTATTTACCCATAGCTGTGTGGTGGGGAGAAGAAGAGGATTCATACTTTTCCCAAGGTTATTACCATGTAAGTAAATCTAATGGATTCGACTGGAATTCGAACTCGGCTCTCCGATCTCTCAATCCGAGCCGCTGTCCATTACTCCACCGTGCCTCCCCGACCTGTCATATTAATATAAATTTATCCTTAAAATTTTTACCGTCATAGATTATTGCGAAAATACTGTCTTGCTTCACGGAAACTTTCGTACTGTAGTCTCTTAAATCAAGAAAGACAAACCAACTCACATAGAATGAGGTAGTTTTCTGCCAATTCTCGCTTATGCAGAATGGACCATGTTGGCGACTTGGCAAGTGCAAGTCCTGAGACATGCAAAGAAAAGCGGATTGACATTAGATTAATCTGTTTAATGTTCCATCTCATCCGTTTCATTAACAACTGCATTGCTCGAACAAGAAGGCCTTCTTTACTCCTATAAACTTACAGTTATATGAATTTCGTGTATTTACTGAAGCCAAAGACATCTAAGTAAATTTAAAAAGATAAAATGATTTTATCCTTTTAAATTTACTTAGATCTCAGAAAAGGATCTTTCAGCTAGCCAACGTCATTGTTTTTATCTAATTAATTGTTATCTTTGGATAACGAAGCGAAGATATAATTAAAAAAAATTATATTGTATATCTTCATTGGACGTTACTGTAGTCTTGTATTCTTGCAAGACAATTTTGCTGGACCATATACACTGCGCATTTACAAGCACATATGTGTCTAGTGAAGACCCCAATATGGAAATATTTCAAATCTTATTAAGTGTATGACAAGGAGGAAATGAGTCCTCCAGTCTATTTAAACTTCCCTTAGACTGTGTCCTGCGTAGTTACAAACACAGTTACACACACACACACACACACACACACACACACACACACACACACACACACACACACATATATATATGTGTGTGTATGTATGTATTTTCTGGTGTCTTTGGTGTATTTTTTTCTTAATTTTCATTTGATCTCCCAAATGTTTACAATCTTTTCCTTGATATTATAATGCTTGAATTAGAGTGACGACCGCTGACTAAACTAAATTGACATTGGTTAAGTGTAAAGAAACGAATTACACATGAAAAACTGTGAGAAATTCTAGGGCAGCAGGAAGAGTAAGGACTTCGGAAAAACGTGTCAAGAAAAGAAGCGATTGAAGAAGAGAAACTGAAAGGAAAAATTGAAAATGAAGGTTGAAATAATGAAAATATTTGTATATGAATTCCCATACTTTTTATTGAGATAGATAATGAAAGTGAAAGTAGAAAAGTGGTCAAATTGATTAAAAAAAAACATCTGTTAAGAAAAATGAGCTTTTCAAAGAAACAGTAGAATGGAGTCTTTAAAGCTATAAAAATGAAAGTAAAAGAAAATGAAACTAAAAGACGAATAACACAGATGTAAGAAAACTATAAAGGATGAAGTAAATGCAAGAAAAAAAAAGAAACAATTGACTAAAATTGGTAAAAGTAAAAAGACTAAATATTTAGGCCAAATAAGACTTAGGAAACGGATGAAAGCATAAAAGTAAAAGATAAAATGAAAAATGGCTGAATTTCCGGCGCATGTTGTTTAAGTACTGGACAAACTGAGGGACCGAAGGCTGGAAATGTTTTGGTGTTAATGTATGTATGTTGGTAAGTAGGTAGGTAGGTAGGCAAATGACCATGTGGCGCGTCGTCGTTCAGAGAGAGTTGAACATCGTTATAATTATTCTGGCTCGTCTCAGATGGGAATAAAGGACACGATTGTAAAGTGTGGCATAGTCAGATAAGAGCTGTTTGAAGCAAACCTGATGAGATCTGAGTTAATGAACGTGGGCGTGAGAATGGGTTCGAGAAGAGGATAAAGAAGAAACAGAAGAGGTGTGAAAGAGAGGCGCCAATGCAAGAAGACAGAATAAGGAAGAGGGGGAGTATTTGGAAATGTAGAAGGTATAGAAAGAGGGTAAAGAGAATAATATCGTGTACAATAATAGCAAGAACCAAGATTATGATTTAAGGAGGAGGAAAAAGAGGAGAAAAATTGAAAAGTTAGGGAATAAGAAATGCGAAAAAAAAGAGTAAAAAATAAAAATATCGAGAAACATAATAAATGATCAAAAATGTCTGAAATAGGAAAATAGTGAAGGAAAAGATTAAGAAAAAGTCAAGTAAGAAAAAAGGATAAATTATGACAAATGAAAAAGAAATACTGTAAAGAAAAAAAGATAAAAACGTGAAGATAAGAACAGAAAAATATATGCCGTCTAGAACAAGATGAAAAGAATGAAAACGTATAAAATGTGAAGAAAACTCTCGAGAAAGAAAGAAACACACAGGTAATAAAGAAAACGTAGATAAAGGAAAGAAAAATGTAGGTAATAAAGTAGATAAAAGAAAGAAAAGCATAGATAATAAAGAAAAGGTACAACAAAAAAATAAAACGGAACGTGTTACAGAAAAAGATGGATGAATGGAACGTACAAAATGTGAAGAAACGAAATAAAAAAAAAGAAAAAGAATGTCGTTGAAAAAATAAGAAAAAAAAATGCTATAAAAAAGGAAAGCGAAAGAAAGAACACAGGTCAAAGAAACCATAATGTTGCAGAGAAAGTGAGGAGAAAAACGAGAGGGTGTGAGAATGAAGAAAAAGAACTGTTACAATGAGAAGTGAGTTTTGATAGGCTTGTTGTTGGGTTTATTTAAAGGTGGCAAATTTTTGGCTTGGCATGTATATAATAAAGAGAAATATATTTTCTGCGGACAATACTGCTCTTTTTTTCTTTTCGTTCCTTGTAGTCATTCTCGGCTTTTTCTGATCTATGCTTTCTCAATTTCCGTTTTGTTTCATTACATAACGACAGGCGTAGTTTCAAAATATTAATCACAAGCCCCAGCAGGTCCCCCGCCAGGTAGTACTTGTCCTTCTGGCGGGGGCTGGGGTGGTTATACGTCGCCTGAGGAGTCCCCAAACGTGGAAGTGCCGAGGGGGCTTGAACAGTTTTTTTTTTCCCTAACGGTATTTCCGTTAAACCCATTTTAAGTTAACCTTGTGTCACATTCGGTAGCGACGTGGGCGCGCTGAAAAATGTACATTACATAACGCTGTCCAATTTCTATCTTTTTTATCTTAAAGTAGTACCCTCTTATCCACGGTTTTATTTAAACTTAGTCAACACTTTAGATTCGTTGGTTTTACTTAATATTATCTGTAAAGCGTTTCCTTTAAATGGAAAGGTGGAAGTTGTACACTTAGTAACCTCACAATACGAACTTTTCTAACAAGTACGGTAATAACATATATTCCGGCTTAATCTTTTATTGTTTCTAATTTATACAGTGTAACCCGGATATAAGAGCAAGTTGATTTTTTTTTTATATTTTTAGAAAATCAACATCGCACTTAGTGTGAAAGCTTGGGTTTGGTATGATAGGTACTGAGACAAAAAAATTACATTCATAGCTTTTACCAATGTTTGAGCATTTGTTTTTAAAGATCGTCTGAAAAGTATACAGAAATACTTAATTTCCGCAGATTTTTGCTTAAAAATTGACTTCAAAATTTTACTATTTCAAGAATTAATGCAAATAAAGTTGATATTTTTTTTGTATGAAATTCATTGACTGAAAAATACAGTGTAACCCGGATATAAGAGAAACCCGGATATAAGAGAGATTTTCTCTGGTCCCAAATTAGAGCCTGTGTTAATGTATATAAAATAGACCAAACCCGGATATAAGAGAAACCCGGATATCAGAGACTTCTTCTCCGGTCCCGACAACTCTCTTATATCCGGGTTACACTGTAAATTAAAGTTTAACATAGTGTGCTATGGATTATCTCCCCTTATAGGTATTCTGTATTTAAATAAATCCAGCTCGAACGTACGCCATTCTAAGTTGAATAAAGCTTCAGCTAAGTTATAAATGCCTTCACCACAATTTATTTGACATAAAATCAACATGGAACATTGCATGAGTCCACAAAGGAGCAACGTCGACCCTGACCATACCACATATAGGTATGCATGTACACATAGGAAACATGCACACCCACACGGACATTTATATATAATTATAGTCTTTATATACAGGAGTTTCTCGTATATACGGTTTCGCTTTATTTAGGGTTAATTGCTATCTCTGGTTTCTTAGAATATATTAAATCTTAAAAAAATGTTTATTTCTGCACTTGACCAACGGTAACTAATACATTTGAAATGCGAAACAGCGCATAAGAGATACTCTTGTATATGTGAATTACATAAGCACTATTTACATTATTCGGGCTATTGCCCTCATTTTTGTTACCATATTTTTCACAACGTTTCGGCCGTTGTATGCTCCGGCCTTCTTCAGTTGGTTGGAATGTCGAACTGAATCATTTAGTTCGCTCGCTGGGGAAGACTGTTCTAGTTCCACGTGCCATGTCTAATGGATGTCAGTTAACAGTTATCTCCTGTTAATTACCCTCTCCAACTTCTCCACTACCTTAACCAGGTATTGAAATTACAACTCCTTGGGTCCTGTCATTGGATCTATCCAACGCCTAAGGACACATGGCACAGTGGATAAAGGCGTTGGTTAGATATAGTGACAGAACCCAAAGAGATGTGAGGTCAATACCTGGTTAAGGCAGTGAAGAACTTGGAAAGGTGAATTAACAAGAGATAAGTGATAACTGACATCCATTAGAACAGTCTATCTCAGCGAGCGAACTAAATGGTTCAGTTCGACATTCCAACCACCTGAAGAAGGCCGGAGTGTACAACGGCCGAAACGTTGGGAAAAATATGGCAACAAAGATGAGGACAATAGTACGAATAATGTAAATAGTGTACATAATACCTCATCTCAGAAATATAGACAGCTAGTGAACTACATATATACGATATTTCCGACAGCCTGATACTACCAAGTTTGCCAGATATCGCCTGTGTCACTCCACTTTGAACAGCGAGGGAGGCGCTTCTGGCCGAGTGTGTGGACTTCTTCGTTGCGCAGAGTTGTCCTCCAAAATCAAATTCACGCGAATGGCCTCGCCAGACTCTTTGATTCGCAGTCATCTCTGCCACCGCCATCAAAGGAGAGAAATGGAACATGGAGAAAGGATGATGATTCGGATCCGAACGGCTTCCGACAAGAAGAATATATATTATTAACGACACTAGGCCGTTAGTGTTTCTCAGGCTCAGACCCATCTCCAAGGCGGAGTCTTCCCCACCCTATAAAATCAGGACCCCACTCGCTCAACCAAGCGACTCAAATGTTCCTCTTCCGTTAAAAAGACCCCTGTGACGGGCCTGTTAACAAAACTTACTCTATCTAAAATTTAGGATATATATTTGTTCAGTCAGGCAGGTTAAATTTTGCACAATTATTCAATATAAGCGGACGGTAGTGTAATTCTAAGTAAAACTTTCTAGCCGTTTTTTTTTTTAAATGTGTTTGTAACCTTACTGTATATGTCTTTCTCTCTCTTTCTTATATTCCCTGTTTATCGTTTCGTATAGGCAGCGCTGTGAGGTGACTTCAAACAGTTTGTCACAGTAATTCATTTGCTATTTTTGTCTGGCTGATTCGCAACGCGCGTGCACGAGCTATTAGTACTTTCTTTTTTCACTCTGGCAGATTGTTCTCAGGCTGACTGTGTATATTTGTTAGACGTCTCTCTAGAATATAATGAAAAATTTTATTCCAAGTTAAGATTTAAAGCTATGCAGTTGAGACATTAAAGGTATTCTTTGAATTCTTGATATATATTTCCTTATTTCTTGTATGAGTGAAGAAGTTAGTCTTTGAAAAAAAAAAACACAATTAAAATCGTTTTTAACTTTTAAAGATCATTCTTTATAGTTTGGTTAGAAATCTGTTCATCTGAGTCATGTATTTGCCTTTGGACTTATCTGGTTGGAACTTTGGGAGCCTATAATCATTTTCTTCAATTTTTAACCACATTAACTTCTTTTTCTTCGTGTCACTGTGACCCCTTCATCTTCACTATCGGCCACGGGTGAATGAAACTGTAATGATCAACAAAATGGCTGAGAAGTTTGATTTCGTCTGTGAATATCCCTCAGCTAGCATTCATACTTGTGACGACTTCAGTATTTCCAAAACGTGGTTACCCCACTCAAACAAAACTGAAGATTGTAGATAAAGTAAAAGCTCCTGCATTACGAATTGATACAGATCGTCCTCAAGCCCACATTGTTTCCGATACAACAGGACATCACACAAAACTCCTGGACTTCTTCCCCATGTCCTATCCTGATAAATACTCCGCTGAATTGTCAACTCCATTTTGTATTTCAGACCATTCACTGGTCAGTGATAAAGTTAATGCCCCGGTGTTCCCTTTCATAGAACGATCTTTCTGTACTGAAACTGACTTTAGACCTTAAATATTGGAAGATATCTCAGCATTATTAAAAAAAGAATAGCCTTCAGAACTGCCACCCCTCATTTCTGAATGAATCTTTTTGAAAGGGAAAGTTTATCCCCTAGAAATAATACAAAAAAAGAAAAAATGGATAAACAGAATGTGCTGCATCTATAGCACACCGTAACCACGACTACAATATCTACCACAGGGTGCGGTGTAGTAGGACCCTGGATGCATTCAGAACTGCAAGGACGAAAGCAAAAGGTTTGAATCCCGTGATTTCTCAATAGAGGCAAAGCATCAATATCACGAATGGCCCTGAGGTTATATTACCGTCGTCATACAAGGCTAAGCTCTTCGCAATGAACTTTGCATCTGACTCCACGTTAGATGACAAGAGCCGCCTCGTTTCCAACTTTCCCTGTCTCACGGGGCACAAACTTTGTAATATCTCTATCACTCTCCGGGAAGTTTCCAGACTTACTAAAAACCTTGACCCCAAAAAGGTTACCAGTTCAGATAAAATTCAGGTGGTTGTTCTTAAGAACATTAACCCAGAGTTAACTCCGATCTTGACATAATTGTTTAAACGCTGTCTGAAGGAGAAATCCTCAAGTCTAGGGAAGTGTTAATCGTGTGGAATGTTTTCAAGAAAGCGCGTGAGCGCTCATCCCCGGCGTCACATCAGCCCATTAGCTTCCTGAGTGTTATTAGTAAAGTCTTTGAGGTTATCTTTAAGAAGATTGTTGGCTATCTCAAGCTCCTGAGCGACAAACAATATGGGATTCACCGTGATGATACCACTGCTGATATGCTGTCATGATTCACAAAATCAGCGATGCATTAGAAAATAAACACATTACGAGAACGATCGATATATCGAAGGCCCGTGACATTGGGAAGTTGCTACCTAAGCTCTCCAGCTATGGTATCGAGTTTTCTTAATGGTCAAGACCTTCCAAGAAGGTCGTTGTTAATTGACATTCCTCCGAGGTTCATTAAATTATTGCAGGTTTCTCCAAGGCTCGCTGCTTCTCAGTGCTTCAAAGTGTCCGGTAAGTTCACCACCATCAAATCACCGCGGGGAAAGGTCACCGTAAAAGGATAATAATTCAACTAATGGATTCTAATTTTATTGATCACTGTTTCTAAAACATTTTTAAAATAGGGTAAAAGTAAATGATAACTGGCATTATGCGTTTTAATTTAATTAATTTAATAATTAAAACTTGGTTTACTAATAACTGATATTATGTAGTTTCATTTAATTTAATAATTAAAACTTGGCTTACTAATAACTGATATTATGTAGTTTCATTTCATTTAATAATTAAAACTTGGCTTACTAATAACTGATATTATGTAGTTTCATTTAATTTAATAATTAAAAGTTGGCTTACTAATAACTGATATGATGC